AAAAAACGAGATCTGAATCAGGTTATCAATATTGATTATTATGAAGCTTTTGAGTATTTTATATTACATAAAAATGGATTAAATAATAAACTAAACAACAATTTAGTAATGGAGTCTAAACGAAATTTCTGACCATCCTGGACCATTATTCTGTTGCTAGCTTAAATTTCTTATCTGTGTGTTAGCTGTTAATTTTAATACAAAGTAAAAATATTTTTTCCTAGCTTTAAGATTTACTTAAGACAGGGTTTCCTCAAAGTCGTCAGTATTGACTCCCAAGGGTCGATAAATGGCTGGAGGTCAAAGGAGGTCAGTATGTCTGTGGGAAATGCTTGGCGTTGTGTACCTGACCGTCCACGATCCTTGTCTGTCATCTCCCTAACCAAACATCAGTACCCTTGTTGACGTTCATTAGATGCATCCTTCTCATTAATGATATCAACAGTTTCAGTAAACAAAGGGGTATATTAAATCTTATATTTTTCATAATTTAAATAGTACCGATATTTATGAAGTCATTGTTAATATTGTCTACTGTTATTATTCATAGCAAAAGCACTATTTGTTAAATTATTTACATATAATAAATGTTTGGGGGTCAGTGAGATGAAGAGTTTGGGGACCCGTGGGACTCGAGAGTCTAGTTTTCGAACTCACTTTTGCAGTACTCACCTCGAAGCCTTGATTGTAGATTATGTTCCAGGTTCCCTGGTTACCCAGCTCATCAGTAACAGTGTTGGGGAAGTTGAGGGTGAAGGTCTTGGTGTACACGATGGAACCCAGTGTGTCACAGTTGATGGTGTGGTCGCCATTTCGTTCCGTCTCACTGAAGGTCCACGAACCACGAATGTCTTCGAAGAGGCAGTTGGCAGGAGTATCTGCCAGGCTTGCCACCACACAACACAATACTAACACACCTCGTATCTGGAAACAAGTGGAAATTCCGAATTTAAAACGTAAAAGATTAAAATTCACGAAACTGTGAGCTGATAGCTATTCTAGATGAACTTACGCTATAATTGACCTTCAGTTCCAATCAGAGTTAGTTGGAAAAATTAATAAAGCAAATAAGCAGGACATGGAACATCAGGAGTATATTCTTATAAAGACAACAAGTTGATTAGCTAATTCCAGTCTGACTCTACATTGTTTATAGTGTGTATATCTTATATGAATAAATTAAAAGTAATAATAATAATTATATTTTATTAATATTATTATTACTAATCATGAATTAATTGGAAGAGCTCAGCTCTTTACAGAGCTATTGAGAAATGAAATTCCTTGACATGTTCATAAAACACACACACTGGAAACAGTTCATAACTAGGCCAATTACACATGTGACTAACTTTGCCTAAAAATCAATTATGGGAAGTAGAACAGAGATTTTTTTTGATAAGTTTCTGAAATTGAAGTCCGTCAACGGACCCTAGATAAAAATTAGTCCACAGGCTAGAGATAAAGTCAGTCAAAAGAATATTTCACTTATATCCACTCGAAACGTTTCACAATACTCATCGTAGCCTACAATCATGGCTCTCAGAGTTTGAGTACGACTCGTCAGCCTAGTTCTTGGGACTGATACACTAACTGCGATGCTTCTGTATATATATAATCAGGGCTTACAACTTACATTTTTATAACCAGTTATATTTCTATATATATATGAGCAACCATGTGTGAGTATTCTCAGCCGTAACACACGAGACTGACACTCCTAGCCCAGTGTGATGGGTTTTTCCAAGATATGAATCTACTGTGGTACGAAGTGCAAAAAAAAAAAAAAAAAAATGGGAACATGGCAGCTTCAAAAAATTTTTTTCTTTTAATTAGGGTAACTTTTTTCTACAAGTAAATATGACTTATAAAAAAAATCTCCATTGAGCGAAACATTGTGTATTGGTTTACTCTGCTGAAAGCGATTTTTTGATATCTTAATATTGAGGGTCTGAAGATTTAGACGTCTCATTAATGCTGAACAACTGATGAAACAGTTTTGTGAGCGAAACATTTTGGAAATCAAAGAATATCAGGTCATGCTTAGTAATACATTCACACGAGATAACAAGCAGGTGAAGAGATGTGGGTGACCCGCTACCTCACCAGCAGACACCTGCTGCCTCCCACATTCATGTTGCTGGTGAGCTCACCAGGGAGGGAGTGGGATGAAGAGGGGATGAGTGGGGTGATAAAGGAGTGTAAGGAGGAGCACGGGGACAGAAAGCGTTGGTGTTATAAAGGAGGAGCAGACAGTCAAACAGCATTGAATAAACATCTGTTGGGTAAGTATTTTTACTGTGTTACAGTGTCAGAGTGTGAGAGTTTGATTTAATGTTACATGAATGTTACAGGGTTTTTTCTAGCAACTTTTCTGGATGATGGATAATATTATTATTATTATTACACACTGGCTGATTCCCACCAAGCAGGGTGGCCCGTAAAATAAAAACTTTACCATCATTCACTCCATCACTGTCTTGCCAGAAGGGTGCTTTACACTACAGTTAAACTGCAACTTAACACCCCTCCTTCAGAGTGCAGGCACTGTACTTCCATCCAGGATCCAGTTCCGGCCTGCCGGTTCCCTGAACCTTCCTTCACTAGAAATGTTACTTTGCTAGACACTCCAACAGCTCGTCAAGATTAAAAACCCATTTGTCTCATGCACTCCTATCAACAGCTCACGCATGTCCTGCTGGAAGTCCAAGCCCCTCGCACACAAAACCTCCTTTACCCCCTCCCTCCAACCCTTCCTAGGCCGACCCCTACCCCGCCTGATAATAATAATAATAACAATAATAATATTGAAAACTATTCTTAAAAGTATAAAACATAGTGGACTTAAAGGTAAAATATTAATGTACATGTTTTGTGTGAGATAAGAGGAAAAAAATTCCTCATCTGAATCTGCGACTAGTTGTGTCCCACAAGCATCAGTACATGTCCATCGGCAGATGGACCTATGAAAGACGAAGTGAACCAGGGTGTCTTGAGGCAATTGTAGAAAGATATGTGTTTATGGAGGCAAAAAAAAGGGGAATGTACCAGAGTATATGGTGCCAACATTTACATGGGTAATAGGTAGTAGGTTGGTAGACAGCAACCACCCAGGGAGGTACTACCGTCCTGCCAAGTGAGTATGAAACGGAAACCTGTAATTGTTTTACATGATGGTAGGATTGCTGGTGTCTTTTTTGTCTCATAAACATGCGGGATACCAGGTATATCTTACTACTTCTACTTTCACTTAGGTCACACTACACATGCATGTACACGCATGTATATACACAACCCTCTTGGTTTTCTTCTATTTTCTTAATAGTTCTTGTTCTTCTTTATTTCCTCTTATGTCCATGGGGAACTGGAACAGAATTCTTCCTCTGCAAGCCATGAGTGTCATAAGAGGTGACTAAAATGCCGGGAAAAAGGCTAATAACTCCGCCTGTATAAATTACTAAATTTAAAAATGATAACTTTCGTTTTTCTTTTTAGGTCACTATGCCTCGGTAGGATATGGCCGGTGTGTAAAAAATCATATGGGTACAAGGCAATGGTTTTAAAACCTGTAATGAAGAGGAGGCTGGAGGACATAGGGATGTCATGCTTGAGAACGTGTGGTGTGAATATTATGTAGAGAATTAGTAACCAAGAAATTAGAATACGGTGGGGGGGGGGGTTATCAAAGGTATAATTCAAGGGACTGAAGATGGGTTGAGGTGGCTTGAGCACTTAGAAAGGATACAGAACAGGGATATAAGTTTTCCTTTTTTTTTCAAGTCAGGAATTGTGTTGTTGTGTTGCGTGGTGGCAGGCCTGGCAGATACACCCGCCAACTGCCTCTATGAAGACATTATTGGTTCGTGGACTGTCTTTGAGACAGAACGAACTGGTGACCACGCCATCAACTGTGATACTCTGGGTCCCATCATCCACATCAAGAACTTCACCCTCAGCTTTCCCCAACACTGCTACTGATGAGTTGGGTAACCAGGGAACATGGACCATGATCTACAACCAAGGCTTCGAAGTAAGTACTGCATCATTGAGTTCGAAAAGTAGAGAACTTAGACTATGGTCTACAATCAGGGCTTCAAGGAGAGTACTGTGTCATTTATAACAAACTGAAACAAAGACATTAAATATCAATGTCCTAAACATTTTGTCGTATGCGTGAGAGACCCAAGTGTAGCTAGGCTCATCATTACAGGTGAACATCAATGAGAGGTCGTACTTCGCCTTCTCAGCATTTGAAGGAGACTGGGACTCCTCAGTGTCTTACTGTGACCGCACCTCCAACGGCTGGTCCAGAGACAAGACCATCAGAAACTGGTCTTGTTTCAGTTCCCAGAAAAATGAAGAGGTAAGCTACTGAATATATTTAAAAAAATTTACCTTCTTTCCCATAAAATGTTGCTCATCTTAGATTCATCTTAGATGGGTACTATGATCGCCCATCTTAAATGGGCAGCCGTAGTGACTCAAGGAGTTCACACATTATTGTATTCCATTAATATTATATCTTTATATCGCATATAAAACCTCTCTAGACTTGTAACATTTAGTAACACTCGCTGTGCTTTGACCTAAATTGTAACTCATCACTGTAGACAAATATCGTGAAATAAAAGTCTTTACTGCTTAAAGTCTTTCTCACAGGACGCCGAGAGGTATTTCACAAAATATATATTTTGAGAATTTGCTTGACTAACCATTTTTATGAATTGAAGTATTCTTGGCTAGCGGTGAATAGGTGACATGACCCTCGTTTATAGGCTATAAACCCAATTAACCAAGTGTTTTTGAATAATATTTCCAGGTGGTCCCCAGGAAAACAAGGAAACTGACATTACCTCAGTCAGAGCTGAGCAAGCAGTACAGAACGACCATGAGATGATCAAGAAGATTAACTCAGCTCAGAGCTCCTGGACAGCTAAGGCTTATCCACAACACGAGAAGTTAGTACCAGATCACTATAATATCGTGATTTGTGCGGATAATTCCTGAGTTAGAACACAAAAATGTTTGAGTCTCGAGAATCTGTTAATAAATGTGTGACAGCGCTAATTCCAAGTAATCTCAGGTGAATTTATTATTATTGTTAAACCATATTAAGCTCGAACCTTAATTTGCTGAACGTTAGACGCTACTCTTGCCCTAACCTCATATGCACCGCCCTGTGTAGGTACACCCACTGAGATGATTCAGCGCCTGGGTGGACCTGGCTCAGTGTTGACGCAGCGACCAACGCCTGCTCCAGCTACTCCAGAGCAGAAGCCCGAGCCGCCCTTCTGCCGAGAACTTCGACTGGAGGGACGTGGACGGTGAGAACTACGTGGCAGCGGTCAGAGACCAGGGCGGTTGCGGGTCCTGTTACACCTTCGGTTCTATGGGACAGGTGAGAGGCCCCGACTGAGATAGCCACACGCAACCAGCGCCAGGATGTCTTCTTACACAGGTACGGGATTATTTTTATTCCTTCCGGCTGGAGACTTTATCTCCGGGCCTGGGTGATCAGAGACGTGACTCCCACCGCTAAGCTATCTTACAAGATATAAAATGTTTGTAACACGATTGACTTGATCCTCCGAAACTCTACACAGAAATGTCATGACCCATTGTAAATATTCCAAGTAACTACATTGTTGTCTTATTACCATGGGTAAATAAACGTAGAATTAATTAGTTTTGTCAAAATCATCGAGTATTAAAAAAAAGGGGTTCCCTATGACGCATTTGTAACTATCGCATCTACTACCTTCCGGACAACTTTGTAATTAGCACAACTATTTCTTCTCCCCCAGGACCCCTATGTTACTATACTCCATTCAGTTCACACCTGTAAATATCATAACTATCTTTACTGCTATCGGGACTCCACTGTAATATCACAACAATCTCTACTATCTTCAGGACTCCTCTGTAAATACCGCTACTAAACATCTATCTTCAGGACGCCTCTGTAACTATCGCTACTAATGTTTTCAGGACGTGGTGTCCTGCTCGGTACTGTCGCAGGGTTGTGCTGGAGGCTTCAACTACCTCATAGCTGGACGCTATGCCCAGGACCAGGGAGTTGTAGAAGAAGAGTGTAACCCCTACACAGGAAAGGTATGCTTATGTAATGAATAAGGTATATCATACGGAGAAGTATACAAGGGAAAGAAATGTGTAAAGTTGGTTAACTATATTAAGCAATTATTTCTCCCACTAGGCGTTTATCAATGAAATAAAGCTCTTGGTGAGCGGAACGTTAGATTGATGAAGTTTCTGGTGACCTAAACGTTAAATTGATAAAGCTTCTGGTGATCTAAACGTTAGATTGATAAAGCTTCTGGTGATCTAAACAGATTGAGAAAGCTTCTGGTGACCTAAACGTTAGATTGATAAAGCTTCTGGTGACCTAAACGTTAGATTGATAAAACTTCTGGTGACCTAAGCGTTAGATTGATAAAGCCCCGGCGGGTTGAATGTTAGAGTGATAAAGCCCATAATGAGGTAAAGTTTTCCTTAATAAAGTTACCTCTCGTTTCACCCTCTTTTACACATTGTGTAATACCACTGAATTCAGAGGATACGATGAGTTATCATACCTCATCTTACTTCAAAGCTCAGCCCAAGGGTATACAAACACTCCTCATGATACCACATACAA